GGAACCGGTGGGCGGTTAGAAAATTTTACTACTAACAGAGATACAAAAGTGGGCGATAGGTATAAAAAGGTTGACTACCCCGGTATAGTTTATCCAAAATAAGTATTTTGACAGTGGCAAGATAGGTGCAATGGGTAACGTAAAGACATGACCTTTTCTATCAATAAGGTGACATTTCTTTTAGGGAGGTCCTCATATTTTTCTTTGTTTTATACAAGCAATAATTATAATTTTATTTCAACTTTGTTTCTTAGTAAAATGTTTTAACTTTAATACTGAGAAAGAAAGATTGCTTGACTAGAATTTGCATTTGTTTTTTGTTTGATTATACCCCATAAAGTTGGTGTGTTGATCTTAGTGACCCCTTGTTTTTACATGATACTAATACAATGCATTTTGTACTTATGAGCCTTTTAAGTCTTTAACATGCAGACAAATCCTTCAAATGCAAAGCTTCCTTTGCACATTGATCTAAACTCTCTTTAAATATTTTTAAAGCTAAAAGAGATATATCTTAAATAAAAAACTGCTATAATATAAACCAACAACATTCAGTCACACATCTTTATTTCCAAGACTACCTCTCAGAGCCTCACTTGAGCCCTGCAGCATTCTTATAAAGTAAACATTATGAGTGGCTGGAATGCAGCTCTTAGTTACAAATGTTTCTACACAAAGACAATGGGGAAAAATATGGTGAAAATGCAAGCATTAGACTTCAAGCATGGCAACAAGACTTGGATTTTCTGAAATCTCCTACATTCATCAATAGCAGAATCACTTTTTGGAAAGCCAAATCACACAGTATAATTAATATAATAAAATTAGTTACCATTTTATATATCCCCTCCAAACAGAATATAGTATACTTAATTTAAATAACCCTTTTCAAAGAAACATAGTAATTCAAATAATCTAAAGACCTTTCTGAAAATTAGCATAGTTCAGGGTTCCCAAGCTGTGAAGTGTACCTCCCTTGTGGCAGTGCAGCAGAGTCCAGGTGAGGTGCAAAGAACCTTTTAGTTGTACATTTTTACAGCTTTCCTGAAGTTCAATTGCATATTTTTAGAGGAGCGGTGTTGAAAGAAATGTCCTTCTGGGGTTGGCCTCCAAGTGGGGAAAAAAACACACTGGAGACATGGAGGCTGCTTGGAAAGATGGTTTATTGGTGGACAGGATCACATGGCTTGAGTTCTGAACAGAAAAGGTGATCACATGCTTCAATATCGGTGGAGAAGAAAAGGGAAGGGGTGAGATGCTGAGTCCCTGATTTTATCCCCCTCTGGTCTTTGATCTTGATCTTGTATTCTGATTGGTTGTCAGACTCCAATGGGGCCATGCAGGGGCAACTCTAGGCTGTGTTTTGAATCCAGGGTGGTTGAGTTCTCAGATGTCATGTGGTGAGTTGGGTAAAGGGCCAATATTATCATACCTTAATCCCATCCCCCTGGAGCTGAAGGGGAGAACTCTTTATTATGTAAAGTTGACTAGCTTGGCCTTCTTAATGGCCTATCGACAATGTGGGGATTGGCAGGAAGCTATAGGGAGCTATTCTGTCTTTAAAAACATGTTTCTTCCTTTTCACATCCAGAGAAATATTCTGCAGTTTCAATATTTCCTAGAATATTTCATTTTTCTGGGAGAGGACTGGGTGATAACTTCCTACAGTGGTATACATTAAGATTACAGTAAAGGGAGGTATGATGGGGGGGGGGGGCGACAGGGAAGGAACCTCTAGCATAAAGGTTGTATCAATGAAGGAACTGATGAGATCCATTTTCTATTTCAGTGTGGAGAGGAGGCTCCTCTAATTACCAAATTGTCCAAACAAGGACAATATCATTAAAAAAAAATATCTCTTTTATGAAAACTGGCAAACTAACCCCTCAGCCAAATAACATTACTGCAAATTACCCATTATAAGTACAACAGGGAGCTAATATTCTGGTCTTTCATGCAAATCTGATTATAAACCACCCTGAAATCAAATTCGGGGATAACATGGGCCTTCTGCAGCCATCGAGAGATGGTAGGGAAAAGGTAACAACCTTTAATGGTTACATACTTCAGGAACTGTATTATAATCATGATCTAAGGAGCTACCTTTTTTCTTCATATTCTCTTGGTTTATTTATGTTTTTTATGAAGTGGGATTTGTTGGGCATTGTCTGTTTGTATATGTGTATTTCTTCATGTTATTTTTTTGATGAACTTTCTACTGCCATTTTCTAAAAAATACGCATTACAGTATTGTGTAAAAAGAAATGAGATTGAAGGATTTTGGGCTGAGACCTCTACCTTCCCTTTCCTTCCCTCCCCTCATGTGAAACAATAGCTGACATCTCTGGATTTAAAAAAAATATGAATTATTTGCTTAGAAATCAGAGATGAGCATTTACTTTATGGGAACAAATCAGTATTTACAGTAATTCATTTTTTTTAATTAAAAAAAGAATTACTATATATTATTTTGGGGTGATGCTGTAGAAAGTAACATTGGGAAATACATTTCTACACACAGGCTCCTCTAATAGTAGCTTTATTATTCATTGTCATAAGCAATTTCAAATAAATGATATTAAGGACATGTTTTAGAAATCTTTCCTAAGAAGCAAATAAGACACATTATATTTTTTCAGTCTCGTAAATCATTTTTATTGCGTATTTATAATTTTTTCTTGTACAATCATTTCCCGAGAAGCATATAACTAATGTAAATGGAGCGTGTGGTTTCATGGTTCTTTTAAAGACTAACATTATTACAATGTCTGTGGTTGCTTGCATGCATGTCCATTTCAACAAATGTCATGAGAAAGGGCCATCTGGGAGGGCCAGGAGCCTCTTAATTCTTTGTCTGACTGCTCTGCAGAAGTAGTGGAACAATTTTCTGTTAAACACAAATTCACATCCAAACAGCCTTTTAAGAAGCTAACCAGTTAACGCTATATCCACTTATTAACAGGAGACCCCAAACTCTTAAGCTCATCCAACCCTTCATGAAGCTTTAGACTGTTCATCGACACTCAAATATTATATTTAATAAATAATTCAATAAATTTAATAGTACTACAAATAATAATTTAAAAAATCTGGCTAGTGAATGTGGCAATGCCTGGAGGCGGCAGAAGAGAAGAGAAAGAACTTGGAGAAGATAGCAAAATACAAAGACCTGCAAATAGAACTATAGAACAACTGAAAAAAGAAAGCAAAGGTGGCGTCATGAGTGCATCTCCAAAACAACTAGAACACCACTTGAACACAGATCGCCCATTGGCATTGACAAATCCACCATCAGTCAATTGCAAAAGGGCAGCTTCACTCAGAACAGCTTATATCCTCCGATGATGCACATCTAACACCATAAAACACCCACATCTGCCTATCCCAAATCCTTGGGAAGGATTGGATAGGACAGGTGGATTAAAAATGCCAAATCCAGTCTGAACATCGCACCTACCGTACCGTCCCTGTCCTACTGCCCCCATTTATTCGTACTCATTTCATTCATACTCATGTTTATTCTTATACCTATTATCTTGTAAATGATTGACAAATAAAATAAATAAATAAAATAAAATGATGGACTGTTTTCAAGATTGCAACGACTGGAGTGGAGTTTTACAGACCCACATTAACTGATCTAATGACGGTTTATCATTTACTGATCCCTACTCTCTTTTGTCTCCCAGCCCTTTATTGACTGTTGGGAGGTCGATATTGATCACTGGGGATACCGGTCCTATACTGTCACTATTACCACCACCATCCCCTCCATCCTTCTCAGGGATAGAACTGGTGAGACCCGGCGAAATAGCCGCCTGAATTTTCTGTATTCGCCTTTAATGAATACATAATTCGCCTCAAACGCCGCCGTCTCCTCCTCCAATCAGGCAAAACAGGAAGCCCTTCCCTCCCTCCCCTTATACAGCCAAGACATTCGCTAGAGCGGCCCCGACCCAGCCCGCCCGCCTCTTTCCTGAAAGAAGAAAGCAGCCCAGCCCGCCTCTTCTTCCTCCACTTGAAGCTTGCTTGAAGCGCTAACGCCCAATGCGACCCGGCCTTTCCGCGGAAGGCGAGCGAGAGATTGGATGACGCCGGACACGTGCCCCCTTCGTTTGGTGGCGTCATTCGTCTCTCTGCGGCGCGCGGGGAGGGCGTGGCGAAAGGGGCTGATTTTTTCCCCCCCGGTCGGCCCGGGGGCTTCTCCTGTCACTTTCAGGCCGCTGCGCGTCGCTCAGGGGCTGGTTGTAACGTGCGGGTGAAGAGCAGCGATGCCTCCGCCGCCATGAAGGAATCCCGCGGCGCGCGGGTCAGTGAATTGGCGGGGATTGGTGAGGAGTAGCTGAGGTGAGGAGGTGGCGGAAGGAGAAGAAAAGACGCCAGGCGAGCATGCAGGCGGGCAAAATGGAGATATGGAGGGGAAGGAAAGGAGCGGCGGCGGCGGGCCGGGCTGTGCCGCAGGTGCTCGCGGCTGACCTCGGGGCAAAGGCAGGGCGAGGAGGATAAGGGCGTTTCTGGTTAACCAATCCCAGACTCTGTTAATATATTGACTCCCCCAAACAGGATTGCATCCCGCCTTTTATAGTGGTATCTCGCTTTATTTTATTTATTGCATTATTATTTTTTGCTGCCCTGAATTGCTTCTCTTGGGTGTGGAAAGACGGTGTAGGCTAAAAATGGGATGAACCTGGCCGCCCGTCTTACTCTGGAAAGCACGGCAGCCAGATTTAACAACCCGTCCCTGGAAACATTTACTCAATTTCCCTGTGATAGGAAATTAATTTTGTAGAAATCGCAGGATACACCGTTGCTGAGCTTCCAAAACGGCGCCCCCAAAATTTGCAGGGACAAAATCAAATGCATTTCGATTCAGTTTCAAAATGCTTCATACATGAGCCCAAAATATGTGCGTAAATGTATGTGCATAATGCATAATGTGTATGGGATCTTAGCCTTACAGTCTCCACCCGTTAATAAGCATGTAATAATGCTAATAAGCACCCATTAATAAGTTAATAAGCATAAACATTTAAAAAAATCTTTTTCCTGGTGTACAACTGGTAATTTGATATATATTTACCATGCTAAGTGTTGAATTGCTGAGGATTGTTTATAGTAGGGATTTTCACTTTCGTTTGCACTATAGAGCCTATTATATGTAGTGAATTGGATGCTGTAATACAAAAGTGCGATGGCTATGAAAGAAATTGCACATTTGCATCCCAAAAGAATATTATATTACACCAATTCCAAATTTGCAAAAATATGCAACATCTCAGAGTTTCTTCTGGTTTTATATTGATATATATAGGCTAAATAGAAGTGTAGTTCTAACATAAAGTTTGAAATATTAATATTTTTGTTTGGGGGAGGGTACTAATAGTTGTACAATATAATACTTCTAATTTTAAGCTGTGTGGAGTTAAGTTTATGGGCAGATCATGGGCAAATTTCATGGGCAAATCATATGTACTTCCTCTTTACAATACTGAGATTATGTTACTGAGTTACTTTATAGTATTGCAGTGACTGAGCATATTTTTGAAATTCCTAGAATTCAAGGGTCTTTCTAAATATATATATATATTTAGCTTATATTTGAAATATAAAGCATGTACAGTTTAAGTGAACCATAACAAATAAATAGCAAATAACAGCATTTACTTTAAATTTGCATCAAGAATCATGTTTGTCAAACACATGGATGAAAACAAAATAGCAAGTGTTTCTCTACTTGCTTATCATGAGTTTATACCCGAAAGGATGTATAGTGGGAAGCCAATATTATTATGATAGAATATAAGTAATGGGTGCAAAAAGCAAGGAAAAACTTTAGCTAAATGTTAGATAATTTTTTTTTTCATTATCAGCTTGATTGCAGAGGCTGGATGGCCTTAGGTAAATAATGGTGTAATTGGAATACTATTTAATTATGTAGCATTTAAAACCTCTTCAAATTGTAAAAATATGTGATTTGGGGTTCTGTATTATGACTACCAGTATACTCATGAAAAATCTTTATTTCATCATGCTCAAGAAGAAGGTTACAGGAAGTTTTTCCCCACCCAAATAGCAGGGAAGGTTTAGCATAGTGGCTGTAGAGAAACTGATAGAATATTTTATGAATACGGATGGTGAATTGAGTAAATTCAGACAAATGCTAAAGTATCAAATATTCTTTAAATAAACAAATCATAATGAGCACTAGACAGCAGTAGAGCTAATTTTCTATGTCTTTGCTGCCATCTTCTCACCAACTGAATTTTTGCAGCCAAATAAAACAAGACTATTGATTCCTTTTTAGGCAGAACAGTTTGAAGACTTGCTCTAGAATGCTACTTATACAGAAAAAACCTTGTTTTGTATCATATAGGAAAGGTAATTATCTCATTTTCACTATGATGGTTTCCTTATAATAAAGTTAACACCCCAATGTAGATTATTATCACACTTTTATTTCCATATAATTTTTATTAAGATTAAAATTAAAGTTAAAAAAACAACAACACAAAAAACAAGTAACTTCTTCCCCCCTCATGTGTACAAGTAGAAACAATTTTGATAACTTAAGCTATTATTATCACATCTTGGCAGGGGATGCTGCCTGAGAAAGCAGCTTGGATAAACTAATATGCAGACTACAGCAGCTCTTAATGAATATGTGCCCCTGGTGTGTTGAGAACAAGTTTTAATATTGTCCTGCCCTTAACTAGCAGGCGTAAATCTTAGTAAAGTCTCCACTGTTCTTTATATTGGTCACATGAATGCAGTCCACATTATGCTGAGGAATGAGACATTGTGTTATCTGAATTTGGCTATATATTAGTAGGTTCATTTTCCCCCCTCTATTGCTAATTTATCAACATAGGGATAAATTACTACTGTATTTTGATAATCTTCAGTATAGTTAGAATAACGCCGTCTCACTAAAACAATTGTATTTCACCATTCATTTTTTTGTGTTTAGTTGGTAGATTATTGCTGGAAGTAATATCTAATCTTTTACATATATTTGATTTCTATATTGCCTTAATACGATAGAACAGTAAAATATTCTATATAGGATATGGAGTGTCTTCTAAGAAAGTACAAAATTAAAGGGAAAAAAATTAATAGAACAGAGAGCATTGTACTCCATCTGTACTTGTTTCTGGAACTTCAGCTCATTCCATCCTTCCTGTTAAGAGTAATGTATGGAGCTAAAGGATGGAATTTAATCCTTTTCAAAATTCAGCCTTGTATTTTGCTAGCTTCCAATTCTGGGTTCATTCGCAATAAAATATTCCCATTCCCATTATCTTTTTATTCTTCCTAAATTAGCCTCTTCTAGTGATAAATTGACATGGGATAAAACTTCTGTTTTCTGTTTTCTTGTTGAGTTGAAATTAGGGAATGAGAGAGGGAGAAAGCTTCAGGGCAATTCCATTCAGAATTCAAAAATGAAAACATGAAGAAATAAGTAACACCTGGGTAAAAAAGAAATATAAGAGGAAGATTTAAAATGATTGCTAATGACCTGCTCTTGCTCAAACAGGAATGTGGCTGGAAAGGCAAATCTACAGGCAGATCAGTAGCAGACTTATGCAACAAATGTTAATTACTTAATAAAGAAAATAAAGGTAATTCAGCCATAAAAAGCTTTGAACTTCAGACTACTGCATAGTCCAGTTTTCTTTGCCAGATATAAATACCTGGTTACCACGACAGTTTTATTCATTGATATTGCAGATGATAAAGCTATATAGATAACATATAGAAAGACAAAACAGTCTTTGTCTGGCAGTGGGGAAAAATAAATGTAGGCTCCAGTTGAGCTCCTTAAGATGTCACATTAGAAAAGGTCCACATATTAATGTCATGCCTTGCCTCATTAGAAGAAAATGGAGAATATAAGGAAAGCTGAGATTCCTTAAAATGCCCAGGACCTACGTTGGATTGGGTTTTAAAAGAAGAGGATAGCATTTCAAATTGATCTCAGAAATAAACTTCAAGGAATTTATTCCATTAGGTATTACAGTATATGTTGTCAATGATATCGCCTCTCCAGTTATGTTCTGTATTTAACTGCAGTTTCTCAATGGTCGTACACTGAAACAGTCCTCATTTTTGCAATAAGCAGACCAACCAGCAAATGTTTGTTAATTTTCATAATATTGTAATACAGCATATTATTATTAACTGGCTTCACCATTGCAGAAAGTTGTAGTAGGAATACTTTCATACTCAGAACACTAAAAATACCAGTGTTTCTCTTCTTGATTGGTCCATATATAATTGCTAAATATAATTGCTAAACAATGAGTAGAAAACACGTAGTAGTTGAGACTGCCCCTCTACTTATTACTAATCAGGGCAATAACAGTTAGACTTATATACCGCTTCATAGGGCTTTCAGCCCTCTCTAAGCGGTTTACAGAGTCAGCATATCGCCCCCACANCAATTCATGCTGAATAAACTAAATTATGAATGTATCTTAAACAGAAAACTATCTTTAGATAGATTTTTACTCCAAAAGAATTTTATTGAAATAAATTTGATAAAAATAAAAAAATCCAATTTAAAATTTAAAAATCTGATTTTTTTAAAAATTGAGTTTTATCCACCCTGTTCCCTCCCTCCCTCTCTTTTACCCTGGGCAGTTTGGAACAATACAAAACAGCATAGAGTGAAATATGCCTAGGAAAAGCAAAACAAAATTAGCTTTTTAGCATAAACATTCCCACAATGAGCCTGTCATCCATTCTAGCTTAGGTCTGGAGAAAAGTCCAATTTCAAGGGCCCAGTTAAATAAGGTCAGGGTAGAGGAGATCCAGATCTCTGGAAGGATGCCATTCCAGAGAAGAGGGGTTGTGACAGGCGCTCTCTCTCTATCAGAAAGCCAGATGAGTCAGAAATTAGATGCCCAGATATCAGAAGTTTCCCACCTCCCCTTTGCAGCTATCTTTCCTTTGGTTTCCCGGCAATAAAGTCAGAATCAGAAGCAACAACATGAAGTATTTTAAGAATGAATGGGGGGAGTGAGTTTCTCACAGATGCTCTTTCTAAGTCTTGTAAATACTGTGAATTAACTACGAATCAAGGTGAAAGGGAGTCCATGGGACCTGATATAAACAAAGCTAAATCAAAGCATATCATTAAAGCCTTGCCTTCTCCCTACTCTTTGAAGTAAATTATTGCCTTGAAACGCAGGAACAGAAAATGTAAGCCTAACCGCAAGCCATTTTCACCAGAGAACAATACAGCCATTGGGAACGGCATACGAATCCCATGTTAATGGTTCACTCCAAAGCCATGCCAACTCCAAACATCTCTGCCACCTCACCCCCAAAGACAGCTGGCACCATGTTATCCCTCTGCTTTTTCCTGCATAAGAGGCCTGGGTCTCCTGGAGGAAGCCTTTACACAGCTTGCCTGAGGCAAGGCATTATTGTATTGCAATTGTCCTGGAGGATTACTGACAACAATTCCTGATTCGGTTTTTATTTCCATCTATTTGCTTCTCACCTATCCAACTGACTACAAACGACATTTTCCCCCCCAATAAATAGGACCAGGAGCCTCTATCCGATCCTTAGGCAAACAGTCCACAGCAAAGGGCTAGTTCTAAATGCCCAAGGCTTATAAACAGAGGACAATAAATGGTAGGGCTGCCAAATGGCTGAAAAGACACAAGAAGGCTTTAAGGCATAAATCTTGTACAGCTACTCCTTTCCCTTCCGCAGCTGCTATCCAAATTTTCTTGCCGGGTGCCTCACATTTTTCTCAGTCAGAAGAAACCACCCAAGAGCGCTGTCAGGACCGGGCCTTTGTTTCCAAGTTCTGCCTCTGAGGAATGATTCACACAGTGCCTCCTGCGCTAAATAAGGATTCGTCAGTATTGTGGAAGTGAGATTTGCAAAAGAGGAATGACATGACCACTTCGCCAAAAATCATGGTGTTTTAAACCAGCCAGCTTTGCTCTGCTGGCTGGGGAATCCTGGGAGTTGAAGTCCACGCATCTTAAAAGTTGCCAAACTTTTGCTCTGCTGGCTGGGGAATCCTGGGAGTTGAAGTCCACGCATCTTAAAAGTTGCCAAACTTTTGCTCTGCTGGCTGGGGAATTCTGGGAGTCGAAGTCCTCCAGGCTTAAAGTTGCCAAGTTTGGGGGCCCGTTTTAAAGTGTAAATGTATGGGGGTGCGTGTGCGTGCATGCGCACGCACTAGGCAGTGGTGATGAATGAACAAGGTGGGTTCACAGATCAACTACATTATTTAATAAGTGAAGAAATGCTCTGTGGTCTGACATTCTGCAACAAAAGCTGAAGCGCTTTTGAACCAGGCCCTCATCATGGTTGACTCACCAAATGAAATAAGGCCCAACAATCTACAGGGAGCTTTTATTTTTCCTATTTACAAACCTGCTGGGCCAACGGAATGCTGCAATTTCATTAATAGGGAAGAAGGAAAAGTCATGGAATCCTGATTTCCTTGAATCGGGAATCTATGTCTAGGGAGATTCTCAAGTCATCCAGGTCACGGTTGTGTCCCAAAAGTTCTTTTTCAAGAGGCAACTGGCCTTTCTGACTTTTCTTTGAAGATGTTTCGCTTCTCATCCAAGGAGCGTCTTTAGCTCTCTTGAGTCAAGAATTGAAGAAGCTTCATGGACGAGAATCGAAATGTCTTCAAAGAATAACCAGAAAGTCCAGTTGCCTCATGAAAAAGTATCTTTAAACATATGAATCTCTTCTTATCATTTCTATTGGATTTATTTTAAAAAAAATTGTTTCTGCTTTTCTATTTATTCAATTTATTGAGGAAGTTATGTTCTAAATGTATATGTAAGCCTTGGGGATACTATGAAGCCAGTGGAGCCTGTGGGGAAGATTTAAAATAGGAAAAGGGTGAGGCTTCGCAATTCTTCATACATCTTGGCTTTTCCTATAATTGACATCACTGTACAACATAAGGCAACTCATTAATAAATTAAGTTAATTTGCATATAGACAAAAATCCACCTTTAAAAAACTAAACCAAAATTATACCCTTTGAATTATTTAGCATTTTGTTTTGAAAAATTGTGGTTAGAAAAATATTACAAGGTTAACATAATACACATTCACAAATATTTGTAGGTACAATTGCAAGGCTGATCAAGTTGGCCTTAAAAAATGGCTAAATATTAGGTAAAGGTTCCCCTCGCACATATGTGCTAGTCATTCCCGACTCAAGGGGGTGGTGCTCATCTCCGTTTCAAAGCCGAACAGCCAGCACTGTCTGAAGACATCTCAGTGGTCATGTGACCGGTATGACTAAACACCGAAGGCACACAGAGAACACTGTTACCTTCCCACCAAAGGTGGTCCCTATTTTTCTACTTGCATTTTTACATGCTTTCGAANCCCCCCCCCCCCAAAAGCAAGATGTGGATTTTTCCCCTTTAAAGGCTGTGCATATCTATTTCTCCATTGGACTAACTGACTTTACTCCCTTCTTTTACATTGAACAATAAGGAGGGTGGATTTCATTTAAATGAACTCAATTTAAGTCATAATTTTTAAAGAGCAACTGTTATTTCTTTCCCACAGCGGCTCTTCCTCATTCACTTTAATGGGATGCCTGGTGATGCGGCAGTGACACAATAAGGTGAGGGATGTGGCAGGCAGCAGGTGACTGGATGCCTGCTAACAGGCACTGCTATGATGGATCTGAAATGACAGGTGCTCTTTAAATGTAAAGACTCATTCTTGCTGGTAGTTAGAATCTTTAATATTATTATTTGCAAACAAAATGAAGGTTTCCCATTTAGCTTGCAGCATTCATTGAATGAGTTTACCAAAAATGTAAATATTGTAGAATATGCAGCCTAACTAAGCTCCATTTCTGAATAAACTAAATTAGTAATATATCTTAAATGGAAAATGGACTATCTTTAGATAGATATTTACTCCAAAAGCATTTTATTAAAATAAATTTGATAAAAATAAAAAAAATTCTGATTTAAATAAAATCCATTTTTTTATTTTTTTAAAAAAGCAATTTTTATACACCCTTATAATAAGTATTAATGGTCCAGTTTTGTGTAGTGATTAAAACACCAGACTAGAAATTGGGCACTAGTTCCACGTTAAGCACAAAGCTAACTAGGTGACTTTGGGCCAATATCTCACAGCCCTAGGAGAAAGACAATATCAAATCACTTCTGAAAAACCTTGCCAAGAAAACTGCTGGGACTATTTCATGCAGTTTGCCAGGAGTCAAAACTGGCTTAGGGACACATAAAAAATAAAATAAAAGTAAGGAATTAGGATAGACAGGAAAAAAATGAGATAAGAAATATGTATTTGGCAAATTTAAATAAATGCAGACTTAGTCACTAGCTATTGCTAAATCAAATTTTAGTATAATGTATTTGACTGGATAAAATAAGTTGACAAACAAGGAAAAAAAGTTTTAATAAGGCAAAACAAAAGCAAGCTGAAGAACATTAGGCCCTTATTTTTATTTTTTTATTTGGCTTGCTGTTTTTTCATTCTTCATTAATTGGAGAAAAATAGTTCTTCTTTAAGCTGGTTAATTTTTTTAAGATGTTGGAAATCTCAAGTGTGTCTCTGCATCTGTTATTTTATTTGAATCTAAGGGGCAGGCTAGAAGAGGAAGGTACCTGTAGCCCTTGGAAGTCAAAAGAAATTAATTTATTACTAAAGGGAACAGGGCAGTGGCGAAATTCTTTTTTTTTTTTACTACCGGTTCTGTGGGCGTGGCTTGGTGGGCATTACAGTGGAAGGATACTGCAAAATCCCCATTCCCTCCCCACTCCTGAGGGAAAGATATTGCAAAATCTCCATTCCCACCCCTCTCTGGGGCCAGCCAGAAGTGGTATTTGTTGGTTCTCTGAACTACTCAAAATTTCTGCTACCGGTTCTCCAGAATCAGTCAGAACCTGCTGAATTTCACCCCTGGAACAGGGGACCTGCTGCTGGAATGAGATATATTGTAAAATGCTGATATGCATTATATGTAAGATATTGTCTTAGTATTAATTCAGTTGAGAAGACACTCAACTAAGAGAAACGGTACGTCCCTTGGGAAGGAGTGTATTATCAGTTGGTTGGCTGAGATCCTGGAAATTAAATATTTTCAAATCTCTTATAATACAATCTATGAAAATATTTTCACAGTGCTTTATTACAAGGAAAGCAGAAGTTGAAAACATACTCTTAGTACTTTTGAAGTAGGATGTTCCCTGAAATTTAGCATAAAACATAGAGACCTTTCAGAAAATTAATGAAGAGGTGAGTTAAACCTCTTAATGTGGTTATTTTTTTAACCTGAAATGATGGCAAGTAGATTTTGGCTTTGTTCAATCACCTTTACTTCTTATAGGAGAAGAGAATACCTATGTGAGAACACAACAAGCAGCATGGCGGATTCAGAAGACATTTTGCTTAACAAGGCAAAGGCAGATCAAACTGCTAATCGCATTGTAAAAGTTAACTCAGGCAAACATTACTTATGTGGTTATTGTGCAGCCATTACAAACATTGCAATAACTTTCCCAATCCAGAAAGTCCTCTTTCGTCAACAGCTGTATGGGGTACGAACCAGAGATGCAATATGTCAGCTTCAGAAAGATGGAATCAGAAATTTGTACCGAGGTATCCTTCCTCCGCTGATGCAGAAGAGCACAACCTTGGCATTGATGTTTGGCCTATATGAAGATTTGTCTTCTGTGCTCCTCAGACACATAAGTACGCCTGAAATCTTTGCCCGGAGCTTAGCAGCTGTGCTTGCTGGGACCACAGAAGCTGGCTTGACCCCTTTTGAGCGTGTGCAGACACTTCTGCAGGACTACAAACATCATGATAAATTTACAAACACCTACCAAGCATTCAGAGTTCTTCGAGAGCATGGGGCCAGGGAATATTATCGGGGCTTGGTGCCAATCCTACTTCGGAACGGTCCTAGCAATGCTCTCTTTTTTGGCCTGCGAGGGCCCATCAAGCAGTGCCTGCCAGAAGCAACAACTTACAGTACTCATCTGATCAATGATTTTATATGTGGCGGGGTATTGGGTGCTATGTTGGGGTTTCTGTTTTTCCCTGTGAATGTTGTCAAAGCCCGCATGCAGTCACAGATTGGTGGGGAATTCCAGTCTTTTTCCACAGTCTTTATGAAGATTTGGCTGGAGCGTGACAGGAAACTGACGCATCTCTTCCGAGGGGCCCATCTAAATTATCACCGGTCCCTGATTTCTTGGGGAATAATTAACGCAACTTATGAATTCTTGCTTAAATTACTATAATTGATTATTAATTTTTTCTTCTTCAGTTGAGCATCGGACAATCCTGAGCTGTCAGTTTCCAGGATATAATGGGAAAACACTTGCAAGTATCTATGACTCCATAACATTCAAGAAACTGAATTGCCGACAAGTGGTGGTTTCAGTTGGTATGGATATTAGCTATTTAAACAGTGCCTAACTAGTTCAAAATATAATTGTATTCAGTCTTGTTCTTGGCCTTCCAATCTATGGATGTGGCAGCTGTATGACTAAAACAATTAACTGAGACGTTTCCTGAAATATAAAGCCAGCGGGCTGATTCACTCAAAGCATAATAAATAAAATTTCATGCTGGCCTATGAAAATTTGCTCCAGATCACCTTTCGCTTTATTCAACCAACACTCCTGGTGATCCAAAGAATGCACTTCATAGAAAATAGCAGAGCAAAAAAACCTGATATTTAAGTTGTTGCTTGACCATTTGTAACAAATGGTAGCATTTTTTTTTTTGTAATAAGTGGACCTTGAGTTTCCATGAAGCTTCATGTTCCCCCTCTTGTTTTTTTTTTTTATGTTGTTGATGATGATGAATATTATTGTACTTTGAAAAGAACTGCCAAATGTAGAAGAGAAAACTATTGTTCTAAAACAGGTTCCATGTAGTTTGGAGCACTTCTGATGCAAATGACATCTGGTTAAAATTAGTATTAAATTTTAGAAACTGGTGGATGTATCTCTACTATTAAATAGTGGGTGTTGACTATGGAGGAAAGAGTGAGAAAAGCACTGAAAAGCTTTAAAATATTCTTTATCTTGCACCGTCACTGAATTTTTCAATGTCAATTAGGTATTTAAATTATTAATTTTGGTGAAATACTCTAATCCAGGGTGGTGGTTTCTTTTATACACATATACACGCACATATACACATATACACTCTTTTCAAGTTTAGGAAGTTTGGTACAAATTTGATAAACTAGCCAAACGTAAACAGGATAAAATTCCAGGTACTATTTACTGGTACAGTACAAATGATTGAGTGAGTTATACTCTACATAAACCTAAGATCTAGTGAAGCAGAATTCTTGCACACCAAAATGAAATGTTTATTGCCATTTTTCACAGTATTTTACTTTGTTGGAAAAGAAATTACAGAGCTATTTCACATACCATTCAGGAGTGTTTAGGCTGACGATATATGAGTTGCAAAAGGCTGGCTTGCCCTTTGCTTTTCCTTTAATGTAGATTTGTCTTCATAGAAGAAACTCTGGCATAAGAGATTCATCCATCCACTTTTAATAAGTGACAAAATTGCCTAAATCCCTCCTTTATATATAGCCTGGCCATTCTCTCTATGAACTCGTGTGAAGGACCATGCATATATTAAAAAAGAAGACAAAAAAGTATCTGCAAATATTACATAGGGCTTCTGTGAATTATTAATCATGCCAATGAACATACAAGTGTACAAAATAGTAAGCAATGGGTGAGTTAGGAAGAGGAAATTCAGCCAAAATAATTATTTTGGCTGGAAGATTTTGTGTGAATACGTGGTAATATTTCCTATTTATATTTATAGGAAAGCTCTCCCAAATTCTGTTGATTATCCTCCAAGTGTTAGAATTATTTTATTAAAATTTAGATAACAGTAGGTTTGAGGTGGTAGGGCTCTTAGTTTATTTTGCCTTTTTGTTTCTCCCCCTACAAGAATGCCCCAAATCAAATATTAATTGATCTTCTAGATTTCTTGATGCTCAAGATACTTAGCTTCACAGTTGGATTGCCAAGCACAAAATGAAAGAATGCTTACTATTTTAAATGTTGTAATTATAGATATATATATACATAAACAAAATGTTGAATGTTTAACTGGTAAAATATAATTCTGCCAGAGGGATTGGGGGGGGGGGTAATTTCCTTTGGTGGAATAAACACAAGTAAATCCAGTTTCCTGAAATGAATATTCTGTAATAGTGTTTTGTTTTTCCCTGACCATAAAGACTGGGAATATTAGTAGGCATGCCATAGTCATTTTCTGCCCACTCTGTATGGCTGGGGTCATAGGCCAGTCTTTCTGACCAACCCAATAGAACAATCACCTTCAGTGGAGCTGCAAAGAACATAATGAAGTCATACTTAAAATAGCAGGATTGCAAGACTATCCCATGACTATTATGCTTCTAGTGGAGAGATGTGGTTATATGAATGGTGATGTGTGTGTGTTGGCTGTGTATGTGTCATATCCGTTCTACCCATTCATGCAACCATCCAAAACATTCTGTGGAGACCAATGAACATCTGGGGGGGGGGGGGAATACCTTCCTCTACCCTAACAATAATCTTTAATATTTAATCAAGTCAAAGAAAAATGAGTGTTGAGTATTGATATTGCCTTCTTGTTTCTTAATAGTCTTGATTTGGATACATCTGCTCTTTTATGGATGTCAAGTTGCATGTAAAGCTCAGGCAAGTTACTTTGTTTAAAAAATGTTTCTCCTAGCAACACAAACGTATTAAATTGCTCATTAAGATGAACTACAGAGACTAGCATGGCTCTAAACATCTGATTAAATTCAGCATTATGTGGAATAGGTTACTTCTGTATTCATGGTTTTAAGCATCACCTGATGGTAAAGTTAAGCAGTAAAATGGAAATGTTAGTAATAAAGTTACTGATTACCTTTTAACCAGCCAATTAAAAATAAACAAGAATGCATTGTCTTCAGGAAAATATTCCCGAATTAATTAAGTTATAGTTGGATTAAAAAAAATAGAATGTTATTTTGTCTTAACAAGTGTAGAATGTATGCCATTGGCTCTGAGTTACATTGGAAGATGTTACATTGGTATACTTGAGGGTTCGTATGCTTAGCTTTGTAATGCTTAGCTTCATAATGCTTATCTATACCTGGCTTTGACAAGGTTTCAAAAATAGGATTATCAGATTTGCAGATGACACAAAGGAGTGATATACCAAATACCTTGGGAACCAGTATCAAGATTCAGGAAAATCCCAGCAACTTCAGTTTCAACAAGGACAAATGCAAAATCCTTCATTTTTGTGAGTAAAATCAAAAGTGTATGTGTAGGGTATGCAACAGCACAAACGAAAAGTGTCTTTGTGAATCTCAAATGGTGCATGAACCAACACTGATGCAGCTGCCAACATGGTGCTAGCCTGCATCAACAATAGATTGTCAAGTTAGTAATTCATTGTTCCTCTCTATTTAGGTTGGTAAGACTCTATCTGGATCATGGAGTCAAGTTCTCAGCATGGCATTTTGGGAAGACCCTGAGAAGTTGAAGTTTTGAGGAAAATAAGATATTAAGAATCTTGGAAGGGAAAACGTAGTTGGCAGCACTCAAAATATTTAGCCTGGAGAAGATAAAATAGCTATTTGTTCAAATACAGGTGGTCCTTGTTTAATTACTACATCTGGATTTGGCAACTTGGTCATTGAGCAAAAGTGATGATTTTACTTCAGGTTTCCTTTGCATTACACACAGAAGGTGGTTGTAAATGTGAGGACTGATCACACAGAGTTACTTTTTCTTCACTTGTTAACTGAATGGTTGCTGTATGAGGCAATCACTAAACAAGGACTATCTATTTCTGGAGAAGTCATGGAGAAGACAGAGTAGATTTCTTCAGCATTATTTCAGAAAATAGACACAAAATTGCTTTTAATTATGAGAAAACAGATTTTGATAGGTCATCAGGAAAAATTTCCTACCTTCAGCAATAGGAGAATCTGCCTCCAGAGATGGTAGCCATTCTTTTCCTGGAAGTATTTCAACAGAGGCTGGAAGGCCATCTCCAGGAGATGCTCTAGTTTTGGATTGCTAAGCAAGGGGTTAGACTGGGAGCGTGTAGCATTAAAAACTGAAGTGTGCAGTTAACATATGAGACTACCAAAGGCCTACATAACACATATTATAAACCTCTCAAAGGGAAGGAATAGTTCTTCATCTTCATGCTAATTGAACAGAGCAAACTCTTTGCTTATCTATTATCTGTAGACCATTTTCCACTGATGAGTTAAAGTATTACTCAGCCATTCATGAGAGCAGAAAACTAGACTGGCATAAAATTTGCTCTCTACCCCCTTTGCTGATTCCTAACCTGCCTCTACTGCCTCTTTCCAACTCATTGCAATCATTTAACTTCCTTCCAGGTTAATGACTGTATAATGAGTGACAGAGTCTACTAAATTTTATACCAGAGTTTTTGAAATTGTTTCCCACAAAATCCTTGGCTTCTTCGGGAAGCTAAGAGCATGTGCATGCCCATACACAAATTCACTCAGGTGCAGCCGGTTATCACGAGAGCATTGCCTCTTGATCAGAGTTCCTGGAATTTTGTTTTTTTAACTAACCAGTTCCACAGGCTGAATTGTTTTTTGAAAATTCCTATTTTATAGCTCTTATATCTGCTCATGTACGACATTTAACATTTAAGCCTGTCCAAGAGCTGGGAAGGCACTGCCAAGGGAATACAGTAAGCAACAACAAAAAGATGTTATCATTTGCATGTTGTAGTTCTGTACAAAGTAGAGAAAGACTTGATCCCTACAAACCATTGCTGAACAAATGGTTTTTGTTTGACAACTATCCTTATCAGCAAAGGATGAATATCTTACTAGTAAAAAAGAAAAGATTAATTCTCTTATAATCCAAGCCCAACTACAGGTAGTCTTTGACTTACAACTATTCATTTAGTGACTGTTACAACAGCACTGGAAAAAAAAAATTATGACCGTTTTTCAGAGTTAACGACCAGTGCAACACCGCCATGGTCATGTGATCAAAATTCAGACCTCAACTGGTATTTATGACATTTGCACCGTCCTTTTGCAACCTTCTGGCAAGCAAAATCAATGGGGAATCCAGATTCACAACAACTGCAGTGATTCAACTAACTGGCAAGAAAAGTCATAAAATGGGGCATAACTCATTTAACTGTCTCACTTAGCAATATAAATTTTGGCTTCAATTATGATTGAGGACTACCTGTAAAACTTCCCAATTCGATTTTAGCTGAAAATTTATTCTCCATGGATAATTGAAGTTCTGAGGAATGGACACCAATTTGGCTCTCGAAATAAGCATAGGAGAAAAGTAAATTTCTTTTATTCTGTCACTCAGGACAATAAACAGGATTTGGGCATGTGTGAATTGTTTCAAACTAGAGAGGGGAGGAAAATACCCCCTGCCTGAATCCCCTCTCAATAAGGAAAGAATCTTTTATGTAAACAAATGCAGAAATAGAGCAGAATCATATTCCAGGTAGTCCTCAATTTACAACCTTTTGTTTAGTGACCTAAGTTACAATGACACTGGAAAAAGCGACTTATGACCTGTTTTCACATTCACAACCGTTGCAGCATCCCCATGGTCATGTGATTAAACTTTGGGCACTTGGCAACTGGCATGTATTTATGAGAGTTGTACTGTCCTGGGGTCATAGCATCACCGTTTGTAACTTTTCCAGCCAGCTTCAACAAGCAAAGTCAATGGGGAAGCCAAATTTCCTTAGCAACCACATGATTGACTTAACTACAGTGATTCGCTTAACAGTGGCAAAAAGTTCATAAAATGAGGCACAACTCACTTAACAATTGCCTCACTTAGCAATGGAAATTTTGGGCTCAGTTGTGGCATAAATCGAGGTCACAAATGCTGGTATGGACATGTTTCAAGGATGCCTCTGTCTGAGAGGCCTATTGTAAGGCACAGCTTGTGGAATATTTCCAGGGAGAGCCACAATATAAATTTACCATTTACCACAAAGCAATAAGGTAAATACAATTAACTTGGATTAAATCAGGTTGGGAGGAGGAAAAGATTTAAAATTATAACCTTGAATTTCAATTTAACACCAGATCAATTTATTTTAGCCCATTGCTCCTTTTCTTGTTCAAAAGTCACCGCTGAATTGGAATCCAAGTAGAAGCAGCTGAAGTAAAACCTAAATCAGCACAATTAGGTTATTCATAACAGCATTAGCAGCATCTAATTAATGTTAGCGTTCCTTGGAAAAAGCAAAGCATTTAGATCCAGGTAGTGCTTAGATACAGCATGAAGCCAATTCTGTATACATTTTTATTGAATTCAACAGTACAAACACGATTTAATGGCCAGAAAAAGATGTCAATTAAATCCAACTTTATTTTAATGTTTTCTACCCAACATACAAAAATAGTACAGGATTTTCTATAGGAAAGTTTATTTGGGAACATACTTTTATCTAATTTCATCTTCCTCATTTTTGTATTAACTTCTTACCCAATTCAGGGGTATCAGAATGGTTTCTGGAAAGCACTATTTTTTTCTTTAAAAAAAGAAATGATGTCACTGTGCAACTGAATCACACCCTCTGTAGAGTTTAGTGGAATCTGTTCGCATTTAGTAGCACTCATTTCAGTAAGCTGTGATTGGTTAATCATTGCTTGAATAATTGAATTCACAATATTAAGTTAAAACAAAACAAATGCTATGGTTTTATACTATGTGTGAATCCAGCTGTATACACAACAAATGAATTTGAGTTTCTGAAGAAGAGAGTTAAATACATAATCCTTCACACTGGTGCATGAGACTAGAGACAATTTACAATTGAAACATTTAAATTTGAAACATGTTAAAGAGGATTATTTAAGTACAATTTTGAATGATACTAGTTTCAAGTATCTAAAAGAAGAGCAACAAATTCAGAGTATGAATGTGAAGTGTTTATTAAGCAAGCAAGAGAAATTGTTCAAACATTTACATCACCCGTGTAAGAGTAAATACATTTCCTAGACCGTTCTTGTAGATGTATTTAAAATGTACACCTTTTATTATGAAATAATTTCAAAGCACTCTACATGCACAAATTTGTACTTCCATATTTAAAAAAATATTTTTGCACAAGATGGAAATATGTTTACAAATAAGCTGACACAACAAAGCTATTAACAAATGGGATGCAAATTATTTAAAGAACTGGCTTTAGATTAATGTACATTTCAACTGTATTCATTTACTTTCATTTTTTCACTCTTCTCCATTGTAGTGATCTCTAAATTTCACTCAGGTTTTCCACAATGATCTTTAAAAGGAAGGAAAGTTCACCCTTCCAAACTAGAATCAGTTGCTCAGCTCTGTCTGATACATGGACATATGGAATTCCAAAAACCATTATATAGAATTCATACATATGTGGAAGCCATACCCAATCCCTTTTTAGACTGAAGCTGGAAACTGGTAGATTTTTATGCAACTATTTTCCATATAAGTAGAAATGTGATTCTAACTTTAAAATGCTAAAATCATATTTTTTACAGAACTAATTAAATCTCTATCTGCTAACTTTTGCAATTAAATCCTGTCCATGAAATGTGTTCAGTAGCATCCAACAGTTTATTCCATAATATGTTTATTTAGAATTTCAGCCTTCCCCATGCTTTAGAGCTAAAACCAATCGGATCCCTGACATTCATTGCAAAAAAAGGGGAAAAGAAAGTATTCAGGTGTTCAGAGACAGCCTATAAAAATATTTGAGAGAAAAACATGCAAAATATGTAACGGCTTCCAATTCTGATCATCTATAGCTGGTATACAATGTCAAAGCACTTGGTTTCATTTTTAAGGAATACTTTTCACATGAATTTGCATGCTAAGAAATTAACTCTGGGGCATGTTCAAGAATTTGCGTACTCTTGTTCCTTAGAGACATTATAAAGCTTCAACACTTTGATCCCCAAAGATCTGACATTTTCTTACTGTTGCCAGAAGATCAATGTTGTTGGGCCAGCTGTCTTTCAGGTGATGTTGCCAACCATGGCTGATTGTTTTTGATGCGAATTTTGAACTTGGGATAAGTGGCATTTTTAATATGTGCCCTACATCCTTTTGAAATCAGTGCAACAAATTCTAGTCTGATTTCAATGTCACTGAAACATGACCAGCTTTTTCACAATCTATGTGGCAATGTTTTATCGGTAGAAACCTTTTTTACCCCTATACATACAGTACTCAGATTTATCCATTCTCAAATCTGATGTATATTACTGCACTGAGTGTACATTCTGCAACAATTACAATTGTACATATCAGTAGTGTTTTGATAAACTCATAAGGTTTTTGTATCAATGTATCAAACTCAATAAATACAATGTATCTGCTTTGGCTGATATGTCATGCTTTCTACAGTTTAATATACAATGGGACAAAAATAGGATTAAGCTATTCATTTTAAAGTATATATGGGCATAGTACATATTCTGATCAGAATCATAAACGGATGTAAAAGATGTTTATAGAAATAAATGATAAATGTAAAGAGAAAAAAATGGTATAAATCAGTTATAGTTATAGCTAATGTTTACTGGAGATCTTTGAAAAGACATGCATAAGAATGTTAATTTATGTGTGCTGCATTTTTATAATCAGGCAACTTTTCCCTTATTAAGGAACAGAGATTGTTACTAGGATTTTATAAAATCAAATATTAATTTCCATTAAGCCAAAATAGTAACTAAGCTCGAAACATTCCCACTCAAAAATGTTTCATTTTAAAAAGCCATGTGGCCATACTATCTAATTTAACATCACTAAATGTTAAGGATAACTACGAGACAGAAAGATCAGTGAATCACTGAACATTTCTGAAACTAAGAGTAAGTTCTGCATCATATATAATTTTATTAAGGGTTTGAAGCACTAAATATGTCTAGCAGTAATTAAAGCAGTGGTGTAAAAAAACAGACAAAACTCAGAGATTGTGGATTATGGGGGTTGTAATCCAACACATCTGACGGACTCAAAATTTGGGGAAAACAGCAGCGTTGTAGTATTACATGCAGAATATTTGAACAGCCTTGCTTTGCTTCAAGGGGCCATTCTCAGTTGCCTAAAATAATCTCTTTGCACTGCTGGCTTCCTGCATTTTGAAAAGGAACTGCTGTACTGTATGCTGATTTTAAAGAAAAGCATGATATGAGGTAGGATGTTTTAAAAAATGCAATGCAATATATAATTTACACTGATGATTGTAATACAATAAATTCAACTCTACTAAAAAATACAAGCCACGTTCAATTACTCTCTGCATTTCTACTCAAGATTTTTAAAGCTTTAGGAAGAATTAGATTGGAGTAATCCAAACACCAAATCACCTTCATGGCTGCATGTTAGAATTCTATAGGGACTGGGGAAAGTGCAAAATACTTCCTGGAAATCCCAACATCTTGGGGTTTGTTTGTTTTTAAAGAAAATGTTCTAGTTCTTATGGTTGCAAAAAATATGCTTGAAAATGATATTAGAGTTGGGGGGGGGCTGCTTTTCAGTGACTGGAATTAGCGTTTTGGTACTTAGCTTGCAAAAGCCATAGGAATGATTGAAAAAGCCTTGTATCAAGCCCGTTCATTAGCTATCCAGTTCAGGGTAGGTTTTTTTTTTTACATCTAATTCATGCCTTCTGCCTCATTAAGGCAGAAGCCATTCATAATCTGATGCCAGACTATGTCTTTCTTTTCTCTTTCTCCCTCTCTTCTCTCTCTCTTCTTTATTTCTCTTTATTTATTGGCCACTCAATTTACCACAGGGAGATGCCAGAGACTTAATCTCTCAGACTACATGCTAAGTATTTGTTCCCTTTGCATACTTTTCCACATGTTGCAGACTCTTACTACTTGGTCAATGTTGGTGTGTGACAGGGTTTATAGTTATACTGTAAAATATTTGAGTTTAATGAATAAATAGGTAAAAAATTACCATGCCAGAAGCTTTTGCATTATCAAAATAAACTGACTAAACAAAAATACATTTAAGAATCCAGCTTACTGAAATATTATCTGGAAGAAAATTACATAAAG